CGATGAGTTCTTAAATTGTGTGTATAGGGGGAACTGATAGGTTGAGCACCTATATGAGCTATATCTGTATATATATATATAGAGCCTATGTATCCTATGGGCCCACCCTGCGTCCCCTTATATCCTGTCCCAGGAACTATCCCATCAAGTTTGGCCTCCGGGTGCAGCGAATGCGCCGTCGTCTGATTGCAGCAAAGCCTGAACCAACGCCCGTGCCAATGAATGAGGATGCACAGTCAGTTTTTGAGGCAGCACACTTCTCAGACTTGTGGACAGACGCTGCCATGCCGGATGTCTTGCAGTATTTGAAAGGGAACCGTTCCCTCAAGATTCCGGGATCCTGGAGACACCTGATTCCCACCGCTCTCTAAGTACTCTTGTGTAGAAGGGTTCCCTGGTCTCTTATAGTTGCCTGAAGTAAATGTAAAGCTGATCTAGGAGCCCCAGAGCTTGTTTCCCCTATTTTTGTTTCGGGCTTAGGATTCCAACATAATTTATGTTAGCTTTTGGAAATTTTTTAGCAGATTTCAGAAAAGGCGCAAATTACCCGCAAAATTCGCGCAAATTACCCGCAAAATGAACCTTACCCGCAAAAAATCCACAAAAAAGTGCAAATTACCCGCAAAAAGGCGCAAAATTTTGCGCAAAATACGCGCAAAATCCATATGGCCCAACTTGTCCTCAAAAGCGCCTCAACATAACTTTTCGTAGCTATTTTGTGGCTGGAGGGCTGGTGGATCAGATGTCTCTGCAAAATTCGCTTTCTGAGCACTATGCTCCCATGACAAGACTACACGTTGGCCTGCCAACGCATGTGCCTTCTACTTAATTCAGGAGGACCTATGCTGATCTTAGCAGCAACCTTCGCAAAATATCGAGACGTTTTACTTTGACCCTATGCTACGCTTTCAAGTTTGCTGGGCATGATGAAATCATGCCTTGTGATGCCTGCGAAGTTGTTTTGTAGTGATTGCCTATATAGGCTGTTTGTTGTGATTCTGCGTGTGTGCGTCAGCAATGCCGAGCCCTTCCTCGTCCCTTGCCTCCGGCCCGTCTGCCAGACCTGTGAAGAATCCTGTACCCTTGCCCTCCCGGAAATGGAGCTGTTCGGAGGTAGAAGAAGGTCAGGAATCACTTAAGGCAGTGAAGCTGGAGAGAATGGACACGAGTGATGATGTGAAAGCTCGCCTAGAGGCTGGGTGATCTTTCCTTATAATGTAGCGGCTTCGGGTGGGGAACTCGCAGAAAGCTAGATTGCACACCTCAATAACCTTCCAAGTTTCCTCACTGTCTCCCATCAGGTGCTCCGACAGGAGTATGATCAGCTTGAAGCTGAGTTGGCTAAAGATGCTGAGCCTGATGATGCATCTTGCTCTGCAATTGTTGTCGTAGTGTTTCAAGTGTATGCCCCTGCGCACGCGCATTTTGCCTATGGCCTATGCGTACCCAATTAAGGAAGAAGATACTTTCGTGGACACCGTCCCAGTGCCACAATTGCATTAGGAGCTTGGATCTGACTTACACCGTATATATACCCCTCCAAGCTCAAACACTTAGGGCAGACCCTTCTCTACCAAGTGCATGTAAGCCCCTGTACAAAGAGAAGCCTCCAAATCATTCAGCCCAGGCTTCAAACTCGCAGCTGAAGAAGTTGGGCCGGTCGATGTCGCAGGATTCGGTGCCGCCGCCTACAAAAAGGGTAGCTCGATTCAAAATAGCTGTTGATGTACAGTCTATATACATATCACCCATTATAAATTGTAGACCTCCTAGAGAGCGCGTTCATTCATAACGTGTGGAACCACTGTGGAACATCAAGTCTAATTAAGAACTCTTCAGGGCATCTTATGAAAGGTTTTTATGTAAAGTGGACCTGAGTTCGTTGGCTGGGTAACGCAATCTAAATAAGCAGGGCTGGAATCTGTCTGGCAGGCTGCGCAGACCCTAGTAGTCACATGATTTAAGTGGTTGCGCAGGCGAAAACGGAAGCAAGTGCTCCTGTTGCTACCCCTTGCCGTGCCCCCGCGAAACCCAGCGCTGCGCCGAGCTGTGGGCAACGGACCCCCCCTCCTGGCCAAGCGACCCCGTCCCCAACCTCAGCCCCAAGTGTTTCGCCGTACTTCGCGGCAACCACACTTATGAGCCCGCCTGCCACAGGTCTCCCAAGCTCCATGCGCCCGCCCGTTGCAGAGAGTGCCCCGCCGACCCCAGCAAGTGCAGCCAGATCCCTCAGCTCCAGCACGGACATGAACACTTGGTCTGATGAAGAGGATCGAGTTTGAAACAGTGCAAACACAAATTCGAATCCTTAAGTATCGTTTCTGCTTCTGCTTGCATGGGGGAGCCATCCGACACTGCGAAGTACCACCGCCTTCGCAGGCTCTGCGAGAAGAAGAGAAGCGGAAGACTACTTGTCCCAGAGCAAGTGGTAGCTGATTACAAGGCTGGAGGTCCAGCCCGGCAGAAGCTCATGGATCAGCTTGAAGAGTGTGGATGGTCCAAGGCGCTTTGACTTTCAAGTCGGATCAAGCTGTTGCTTGTGTAACTCGATCATGTCCCATCTCAGTGCTTATATAGACCCACTTGCTAGGAGCGGTTCATTGCTCATGTCAACCGCGTGCACAAGAAGTTGCATGAGAATGAGAACAAGCAACGCTATGCTTGGCACACGGAGAAGTCAATGGCTACTGAGCTCAAGTGGAATAAGCCGCGCCCTAAGCAATTGCAGCTATGCAAAGGCAGATTGAGCTACCAAATGCCTACCTTGATATTCGATTGAATCTGCCCCTGGCCCTGCATGAAACCTTTCAATAACCTTTTTGCGTACAAAGGTCTTATATCCAGCTCGCCATCGCAGACTGCCGCCAGAATGGAATGGTGAAGCCGCACGGCATACAATTCCTGAGATGCTTTGAAGGAAGCGCTCTGACACATCCCAAAACCATACAATCTATAAATACCCCAATGGAACCCTCTTCGACTACTTGTGCATGTATCTTGTCAAGCTAAAATTTGTATGCCGTGCAACTTACTTCTACTCAGGCTCGATCGCTATGACAGACGCTTGGAGAAGTTCTATGTGGAGATTGAGGATGGCGGTCATGTGCTGAACCGCGAGCAGGATATTGAGCAAAGGGAGCAGGCAGAAGCCGCCACTTACGTTCATTACTTGTCTCATAAGATTTGATGGCAGGAGTTGATTACGGGGTACTTCAAAACTTACATATGCTACATAAAGAGGCAGGTGAAGGGGGTATCGCTGGCCTTTTACACTCGCTGCAACGCCCAATGATGCTGCCCTTTTCTGTATGTCAAAGGGAGGTTTGTTGTGTGGGTGCCTATAAACATCTGTTCTCATGTGGGGTCCTAGTTTGGGGGCATTGAAGAATGTGGTTCTTTTTCTCAGCTGGGAGGGTTTACGGGGAAAGGGTCTGACCTCCAAATCTCCCTAAAATCAAACCAAACCCAGGATTTGTCAGTTTGGTTTGAGGGGGTCTCGGAAGGCGGGTTGGCTGGTTGCGAGGGCTGGGCTTGGGTAAAGGTGTGGGGAATCTGGGGTGGTTTCGGGGATCTTGGTAGGCAGCCAAAAATGTATTTAACCGCTTGATGGATGGACCCTATACTGGCTACAGCCCTAGAATTGACCATTCAAAACGCCTATAGAAGTTAACACTGGAAAGCTGTTTGAACCTCGGAAACGCTTGACCGCCCAGGCCTCAACTGGCCCTCGCGAGCTCAAGTTCCATGATTTCAATGAGCGCCCAAACCAGATGGCCGGTGGCGCGCATGCGCCAGGCACCGCCGCGTCAGTTCCCGGACCCGCCGGAGCCCCTCCCCCAGAGGCAACCCGTCTTGGTGCGCCAACGGATGCTTCTAGTCTGCGTTATTTTCAGATCCCGTTTGAAGAAAATTACCATGCAAGCATCTTTCCGCCAACCCAAATTAGAATGCAATGAGTGCTCGCGTTTGTGAGCTTCAGAATGTGTTATTTAGACAATATTACAGTACAGCCCAAAAAACGCCAAAATGCTAAATGTTCTATGAACCTCGTACAATGTGTGTATATACTTGTGTACACCCTATGAATCCTTTTTGTGTTGTTCTTTTTATAATCCTAACACATTGTTTTAAACCTTACATGCACCCCTAGCTAAACACAAATAAAGCCAAACTGTGTATATATATATACACTCATGAACCCACAACAAGAGACCAACCCTACAATGCTCGTGTTCCTCTAGCATGCTGCCTGACTGTGTGCTCTTACCCTACGTTGTTTTAGGCGTTTTGTTCTGGGGAAGGAAATCGGAGCAAAGGGAAGGTGCGCAGGTAAGGTGTACAGGTAGACTACAGAATTGTATCAGGGCAGCTGATGCAATGGACCCATCAAGCCAGACCGCGTACTTTGAGCATTCCGCTCAGGAACAGCTATTCTTGGACAAGTGCGCGGAAACCGCGCTGGCCAAAATGTCAAAGGTACATGACCTGATCGGCCGCCTAGAACAGCATGTGGACAGCAAGAACAAGGATTGCCGCGCCCAAAGGACGGTGTTTGAACAACCCTTCTTAATTGAGCCCTTATATATGGGTTGCGTTTGAAATTCGATGTTGTACCATAGTACTGCGCCTGTTTCCTCCATTTCCCTACAGCTTAGGAGAAACTACCCCCTAATTGATAGGGAGAGCCCATAAAACTGTAGGCAAGTTGAGCCACAGGTGCACCCACGCTATATCCTTATTTGGGGGGGACTTGTATGCTGACTCAATAAAATTGTGTGTACATATTAAAATACATTCTATCAATACTACGAATGGTGTACTTTCACTCGAAATCCTACAGTACACCCTCTAGAAGCCGCATCAATCCTACACGAACACGATGAACCCTGCATATATACACATATATATAAGCCCTTAATATAAGCCCGGTAGTGGTCCGCAAGAATTAGACAACCATGTAATGTAGGTGAATGTTTTCTAGTTCTGTTACCAAAACCCAGAACATTCTTGGTTTCAGGGCTGTGGATAATCTCGAAATCAAGCTGAAAGATGTGGAGTCCGGCTATGAAAAGTTGGTTCAGCTCAGAGCTCGGCTGGACGCGGAGTCAGGGTGGCTTGCCTATGTATATATGCATGGCTTCTAGAAATACCTTCTCTATGAAATGTTTTTGTGAAGGTCCGAATTCATCCCTAACCCTATATGGACAAATAAAGATGACCTCAGGTTGCAAACGTCCATTGATGAGGCATGGAAGGAAACCTCGCTTGCGCGCCGCGGCACGCAATTCCTATAAGGTTGTACTCATCCAATTATGGTGGTGGCTGAATAGGTTGTGTTTTTTATGGGAACATCGTACGTCGTACAAAGTTTATATATGACCTCAACATCCTAGAAAACCCTTGGAAACCCTGCTCACCTAGTATATGGGCCTTGCCTGCTGAAGGCTCCTCAAAATCATACAGGGGATCCTGCGGCTACAGATTCATTCAGCCATTGATTCCTGCATGTCTTCTTCCTCCATACATTTGTTCTACTCAATGCCCACACAATTATAGAAGCCCTTGAAGCGCGGCAGCGCAAGCACCCTCTTTTTAAGGAAGTAAATACGCAGCAAGTACATCTACAGTTTCACGGGTTGGATTCAGATCGACCGCGTAATCTATCGATCTACATGCAGAAGCTATATATGTCTCCCCAGGTGCAGTCGTCTTCTCGCAGCGGAGAATCAAGCGAAGTGCCTTCATTGACAACTCAGGGTTTTCATGTTTCGATATATACCTCTTATGTAGAATGATCTTTTCGGTTTTGGGTGTTGGAGATGAGACGGGGGAAGAATGATAAAACCCTTGTATAAGCCATGTAGCAACCCACGCAACGTACAAACCCCGATTTGAAATTTGTATCAAACGTAGCTAAAGGTCGGTTGAGCGAGCCCAGCTGAAGAGAGCGAAGCAAGAGGAGAGGGTAGAGGAAGCACACTAGGCAATTGCCACTTGGAGTCTCCTACGTCAGGATCCCAACTTGTGACACCTCACTACCAGGCTTTGGGTGTGCATGGCTAACGTAAACCTAGGAATGGTTCCTTGTCTTATGGGGGGGCACCTGGCATGGAGCTGCCCAAGGGTAGCCTCACGGATTTTCCAATGCATCTGTGTAGATGATGCATGTTGATGTGCAAAACGCACTGCAGCGCAGCTGTTGTACATAGCAACAGTTGCTTGTTCCTGATAATTACTACGAAGCGCTACGTTGCTGCCTTTTGCGGCTGCGTTGATCTCTACAGCGGGGGGGTTGGTGAAAGGTTTGATCTGGTCGGCCTATTATAGTCCGAAGAGCATTGCATGATCCCACCAAGACACTTTATAATCCCAGCAACAGCCATCGGGCCAGGCCCGGATCCAGAGATGGTCGCAGTGGCACGGCAGCTTGGCAAAGGCGTGCCTGCCCAAGCTTTCAAGCAAATCTTTTGGCTGGGAATTGGTTTCTGAACAGACGCACCCTGGATGTTCCATCATAGCTGCAGTGGCTCTATAGGCATGCAGGGTACATTGGAAGACTGGGAAGCTGATTTTCTGGACTTGATCACTTTTGACCATGGGACTAGTGCTGCCGGGCAGAGAGCGATGGCTGAACAGCCTAAAAAGCTTCTTGGCTTAATACCTGCTAGCGCAACAACCTTCATGAATTTTGTCACGCGTGCGGCTATAGATAGTGCATGGCTGATTCCTGAAGATTCTGTAGGTGACTCATACCGAGGCAGAAATTGACTGACAGGGACAGCCTTAAAACAGCATGCGACCCGATTTGGCCTCTCACAGCTGCAGCAACGACACCAGCAGCCCAGCAGCAAATTGCTCGTATATTCTTGGCGCATCTTATAAATAGTTTTCATTTACCTATAGCCCTATGTAGCACTAAAATGAGAGCAACCTAAAGTTTTAAGTAATCTATATACGTTACCGGTGCCAAATGCCTTCCCATTATCAAGTTTGCTCCAAACTCAGGCGCGACTACATGAACTTCATGGGTCACTGACTGCTCAAAGGATGGATGCTTTATCGGAGGAGTTTGAGTCATGCGAGTGTATCAAATCCAAAGAAATGGTGCTTCGAAAATTGGGGGACCCTATGCTCCTTGCATACTTGGACATGACGGTTCGCAACCATACTGCGGGCAAAATTCTGCAGCACTGCAAAAGGAAAGTGAATGGCTTTCGGCGTCTAATAGGTGCCCATGTCTGTGTTTTCAAGATTGGCTTCACAAGCAACCCAATCTTTAGATTTCGAAAATACCAGGAGCTAAACTATTCTTCCATGATGTTGTTGCATTCGACTCCGTGCAAGGGCACAGCTGAAATGCTGGAGGCAGCTTTGATTGACCAACATCAAAGTATTGTTGGCTGCCGCAACATTCAATGTGGGGGGGAAGGCCCTGGACATATACGTGCTGAGCACTACTACGTTTACATCGTTGGCTCCCGGGCTGACCTGCCTGTGCGAATAGGGTAGTAGATGGGTAGTAGATAGATCGTCTCCCCGGCCATCAATGAGTTTGTTTATAAAGGGCATGTATAGGAGTATGACGAGTAGCAATGTGGAGCCAAACGATCTACTTTAAACATTTCCTAAGTGGGTTCCCTCACCAGGTGCTGCGCGAATATCTTTGGCCTTATATGGCTCGCGTGCGCTCAGCTGTTGAATAAAAATGCCTCAGGCTTTGCGCTGCTGACAGCTTTAAACCATGTAAGACTCCATGTGTCCTGCGCATTGTCCTTGTACGCTTGCCTCCTACTGTCGTCGCTTTTGAATTTTTCCGTTGCGCCCAGGTGCCTTGCACGGACATCATCGAGAACGCTAAAACATCGACTTCCGCGAGTGCTGGGGTAAGAGTTCTTGCAGGCATCTCTTTGGGCCACTCTGAGAGTGGAGTGCACAAGGTCCTGGATGAGCAGGGTTGCAGGCTTCCTGTTCCCCTCCAATTTGTTGACCTCCCAACCCAAAAAAAGGTTCCATACGTCCTAATGAGTGACTGGGCTTTCTTCCTTGCAAGCACAGGGAGGCTACACTACTTGGTTGGCACGAGCGATGTAATGAAACGCCGCGAGCTTTGCCTGGAGTTTTGGCTTCGCCTCAAGCAATCAAGACCAGATCACCCAGTTTACAGCAGTGGACAAGGTGATGGAAAAGAAGACCTTGATCGTTTACGGAACACCATACCGCTTTTGCACCATGGTGATGAAGGCCGTACATACCGCAAATTGCCGCTGATGGTGCTGAGTACGCATGGGGTTCTTGGTCGAGGATGCAACCAAGCAGCCGACAAAAACAAGAACAATTACGCCGCGCAGGAAGACCCGATGCGCCTCAACTTCTTGGGCAGCACGATCTCCACCCACTACATTTTTGCAGCGCTCCCCCACTCCTTGTATAAGAAATGCCCAGAAGCCCTGGACATAATGTTGGAGCTCTACGCGAAGGATATGGAGTATTTGGCCACCAACGGTTTATTGGTGCCGGACGGAGATTCTGTTCGACGCATTTACTTTCAAGTCTTGGCTGTCAAGGGTGACCTTCCATATTTAGGCAAGGCAGCGCATTTCTCGCGAACCTATTCCATGTGTCCGAAACAGTCTGAAAGCAAAAAGGCTGCTTCTGGAATTTGCTACAGGTGTTGGGCTGGTGTGGAAGGTGGTCAGGAAACTTGGCCTTGGGAAGAGTTCGTTTTGCAGGCAAGGTGGCTGCAAACAGACGGAATGGAGCCGGCAGGCTTCAGTCGAGCCGGCCCCCTGCTACACATTCCCCATGACAAGGCCATGTGGCTATACCGATTGGACATTTGGCATACGTTCCATCTTGGTTGTGGAAAAAGCTTTGCAGCATCAGCAATTGTCATTCTCCTAGAGTCCATGGAGGAACAGCGTACAATAGACCAACGGCTGTCTTTGCTGACTGAGGATTATAGAAGCTTTTGCAAACGGACCCGCAGCTACGCCTTCATAACTCAGATTACTCGCGACCTGCTGGCGTGGCAGAATTCAAATGACATGCCTGCAGGGTCGTGGCACAAAGGTTTCCTCACGACGCGCCTGTTTGAGTGGCTCGAAGATTACATGGGAAGGCTGCACAAGGATGACACGCACCCGGCATTGAGTGAAATTGTGCCTCGGTTTCCAACATTTTAAACACGCAACGAAGATGTAAAATTGTGTTTCTGTTGTAGACACATAAGGTTTTCATACACTTTCTTTGTAGTCTCCCACGGTAACTTTTTGTTTCTATAGAACTTCAATGTGAGATTCAGGCTCTAGCGACGCAGGCCGCAAATTCATGCATGAGGGGGCTCTACAGCTCTGGGGTTTGGCTACGCCCGTCCAAGGCACGGGAAGTTGTGACGCACGGAATGCGATTCCTGCAAGGGTACAGCAGGCTGGCGATGATGGCTTACCATTTTCGTTGCCGTCGATTCCCCCTTCTTCCGAAGTTGCATTTCTTTCACCATGTCATGGCAGACATGTGGGCAGAAGCCTGCACCCGTAATTGGGTTCTTTCGCCGCTTGTATTCAGTGTACAGTTACAAGAGGATTTCATAGGGAAGCCTGCAAGGGTTTCTCGCCGTGTGAGTCCTAAGCTTCACGCGCTTCGCACGCTACAACGCGTGATGAAAGCGATGTTCGCAGAATACGAACGTCTGGAGAAGTAAAATGAATTCGGCGTACTTACATGCAAGCAGCACCATGATTCATGATACACATACGCATTCGCAATGGCGCTTGTACTTCTGAACGCGGTGAAGGCAGGACTGTATTGGTGTATTGGGAAACTCCTGGTGTTGGTTGCCCACTTTTTAAGGGTAAAGTTAGCTTACCCCAAAATCCTGAAGCAAAAGGTTTGGCAGGTAGGGTTTAGGGTTTGAGGTTTCGGGTTTAGGGTTTAGGGTTTGGGGTTTAGGGTTTGAGGTTCAGGGTTTAGGGTGTAGGATTTGGGGCTTGGGGTTTGGGATTTAGGGTTTAGGCTTGATTTAGGGCTAAGGGGTTTAGGGTTGGTTTAGGGCTAAGGGGTTAGGGCTTTCCTCAAATAGGGCTTTTGAAAAGCCAAAACCCTAGAAATCCCGAGCGTCCACGTAAAACGCAAGACTACTGTACCAGTCCCAGTCCAAGGCCCCTGAAAACCTAAACGTTGAATTAAGCCCCTAAAACGAAACCATAAACCTGAAAGCCTAGTCCCTGAACCCTAATCCCTAGTCCCGAACCCCCAAACCCGAATCCCCAAACCCTAACCCTACCCCCAATCCCCGGACCCAAATCCCTAAACCCTAATCTCTAAACCCTAACGCCCGAAGTCCCAAACGCAAATCCCCAAACCCTAACCCCTAAATCCTACACTCTAAACCCTAACAAACCCCTAGCCCGGCCTGACCACCTCTGCAAAACGCCGTAGATCAGCTTTCTGTCGCAGCCTAGCCGCTGCTGGGTGACCTGAGCTGCCCAGTCCCTATGAGTAAGGCCCCTGTGTCAGTTTAGGGAGGGTTTAGGGTTTTGGGGTTTAGAGTTTAGGTTGTAGGATTTAAGGCTCATCGATGTGTCGGGTGGCAGGAATGCGCTGGAAGTCTGTAAGAGTTGTATAGTGTTTGGAAGCTTTTTCTTGGCCAAATAACGTTAACCTGCTTGTGATCCTAATTTGACTGCTACGTCCCCTTCGCCTCGATGAAATCGGCCTAAACCCTAAACCTTAAATCCCGGGACCCCAAACCCTGGACATCCCTACATGAGCTACAGTCACTATTTCCTATGTAATGGACATGGGTTCCTTATTAAGGAATATACCAGGGACTATACTAAATAAACTATAAGAGGGACCTCTATGTCCACGGTTACGGGTCGTTTAATTCGGCTAATAACATATTGACAGAAGCTCACATGGAGGTCCAGAGCATTTACAACCCAATGATGTCTCTGCCTATAGCCCACTTAACAGCTCCCTACGTGGAGTTTCCTAGGTATTAGATGGCTTCTAAGCACAGCAATGATTACCTAAACCCCAAAACTATGTAAAAGAATAGCCCTAAACCCATAATAACGGCCATAAAGGCAATTTGTTTACCTACTTTTGGGGTTCAGGTAGGTTGTAATAAGTATCCGGCACGTCCCAGTAGATGGTTTTGGCTAGGCGCGCGTTTCAGAAGCCAACTCCTCCCTGCCAGCGCACACCACAATCCAAACTCATTTTATGGGGGTCCATAGGGTTTAGGGTTTCCCAAAATTAGGGGAATATGTAGGGTTTAGGGATTATAGGGTTTAGGGATTTAGGGATTAGGGTTTAGGGTTTCCCCAAATTGTAGTCCCCTCTAGCACTCCTGTAGAGCTACCGTTTCAGCTACTGCGGTTGTTCCTGATGACAGAAACGATTCTTGAGATGGCATTAGGAAAAAAGAAGAATGATGAACGGAAGCAGGATTTCCATTTATGGCTTCCCAAAGAAGGACACCTCCATATGAGCCATAGTCGAAACTCCTGGTAAATAACCCCCATGGTAGTCCCCTATATAATTCCTTATATGATCCCCTTTAAGGAGTTTAGACTACAGCTCATACATACCCTCACAAATCCTCCGTTCGGAGAAGCCCTGGTACTCTCATCACAACCAAGATAAACAAGCCCTGCCTCAGATCAGGCTTGCTGAGCCCTAAACCTTGAACCCTCAACCCTAGAAACAAAAAAACACCTAAACCCTAATATGGGGGCTAGATAAATGACAATTTCCTTTTGAGGTCCATTTGAGGTACCATGTACTATATGGAACCAGAATATTGGTATTTATTTAGGCCCCTGTATTAAGCAGAAAAGGAATGCTCTGCCCAGCGTGAATATCCACTTGTGAATTCCCTAAACCCTAAACCCTAAACCGTGTGGAACCCTGATTCAAGTAATTCGAGCTGAGTCAGTGCTTCGCACTATGGACCAAGGACGGCGTGCGGCGAAGGTCCGGGTGCTAGAAGCCCTACATGAAGGGTCTGGGGTTGAGGCTTTAGGGCTGAGGGTCTAGGGTGTAGGGTTCAGGGTTTGATCAGGATTTAGCATTTGCGGCTGAGAGTTTAGGGATTCGTGGTTTAGGGCTTCGGAACTCACACGGGAGTTCATTGCGAGGCCCCAATGGAGAAAAGCAGTCTGGCATGGTGAGAATGGGGAACCCTAAGCCCTGAACCGTGTTCTGTCGACCCGGCGCTGCACAGCTTCCGAAGCTCCAGCAGAGCTTAGGGCTTCCAGAGAGCGCTTTAAGGTTCATGGGACTTCGAATCTACTTAAGACTGGAGTCATAATCCTACTTATAATTGAGGTTCCCTCTACAAAGCCAGTTAGGGAGATTATTTGTGGGGTTCTAACCCCAGCTGAAAGCAGTCGCTGAACCTCATGAAGCTCCAATGGCCTGGGAATGCGGATTTGAGATGGAGAGTCACCATGAGTCGGGGCTGATACCCCAAGGGTCCAAGTACCTAATAATCATATCGATAATTACTATTACCCCAAACCCAAGTACCTAGTTGTTGGGTACTTGGACCCTTAGGGATAATTGAATCTCCATGAAAACTCGCAAGCTCCCCCTAGGAAGCATCCTTTTCGTAGCCGGGAGGCCGGATGAAGATGGTTGATGCTGCCTCGGAACTCTCTGGGAAGGGCTAAGTGGCAGGGAGGTATCTCTCAAAAGAACTTCATGAAAACCGAGTATGAGCACAAGGACGGTACTTTTCCAAACGAATCTTCCGCTGGTCCCTAAGGGTCCAAGGACCCGAATAATAGGTTTTTAGGGCCCAAATACTATAACTATTTGGGCCCGAAGACCGTATTATTTGGGTCCTAAAGACCTATAGAATAATAGTTTCCATTTTCTTTTCCATTCTCCCTATATAACCACTATTATTTGAGTCCTTAGAACCTTAGGGGGTCGGTTTGACCCCAGCCAGAACGAAGATTCACCCCATGCTGAGTCCCTAGATGGGGCCCTCATGTTGGAAACTCCATCTGACCTATAGTCTACGTAAACTCCTCGTACTCCCCTTAATAGTCCCTATAATACCCCCCTACATAACCCCCTATATAATCCCCCTTTAAGGAATTTAGATTCTTAGCTCGTCTGGCATGATAAATGGAAGTCATGCTGAGCTGTGGGTGTAAGGCCCGCGCAGCAAAAGCAAGAGGCATGCTGCAGCTTGAAGTCGCGCAGCTGCCTTTCAAGGCGTTCTCCGCACAGGCTACCCAGAAACTCGCAAGCCCAAGTGCTGAACCCGTAAAATAATGGTATTTAATAACCTACCTGAAACCCAAAAGTATGTAAAATAATGGCCTTCTGAGCAATACTTCTGTGTTTAGGGCTAGTATTTGACCTACTACTGTTGGGGTTTAGGAAGTGCCGAAATCCGACTAAAGCCCGAAGCCCCAGCTGTGCTATATTGTTCTGGGCTGCTGTTGAGGATCTTAAGTAAATCAAGTTACCATAATGGGTATACATGCGAGTTTCCCAAAATTAAGGATACCCTTTTGGGGGTCCCTATAATAAGGACTATAGTATTTGGGGGTTCGTATTGGGGCCCCCCTATATTGGGAAACTACCATATGGTGACTAATCTCGTACCCCCATGATAGTGACTTGCATTAAGCTCCATAACAGCAAGCCAATCCTTCCCGGCTGCCGAGCCTGACCAAGCCACCCATGTCATGCAGCAGGTCAGTCATCAGGTAGAGGAGCAGCGGAAAAATCACCCAAATCCTCGAAATTAGGGGTTGGGGCTTAGGATTTTGGAGTCTGGGTGCAAGGTTTAGGGTGTAGGGTTTAGGGTGACCCAAATCCTCGAAATTAAGGTTTCGGGTGTAGGATTTTGGAGTGGGGCACGGGGTTTCGGGTTTAGGGTGTATAGGGTTTACCTGAGCCCCAAAAGTAGGTGAAACAAGCGCCTGTATGGCTGTTACTATGGGTTTAGGGCCCTCACTTACCTAAATAATCGGTTCTGGGTTCAGGGTTTAGGGCTCCCAGTTACCTAAATAATGGGTTCCGGGTCCAGTGTTTATGGCTTAGGGTTCAGGGTTTAGGGCTCCCAATTACCTAAATAATGGGTTCCGGGTTCAGTGTTTATGGCTTAGGGTTCAGGGTTTAGGGCTCCCAGTTACCTAAATAATGGGTTCCGGGTTCT